GAAGGGAAAGAGAGAGAGAGAGGGAGGGAGGGAAGGAAAGAAAGAAGGAAGGAAGGAAGAAAGGGAAAGAGAGGGAGGGAAGGAAGAAAGAAAGGAAGGAAGGGAAAGACAGAGAGAGAGGAAGGGATGGAAGGAAAGAAGGAAGAAAGGAAGGAAGGGAAAGAGAGAGAGAGAGGAAGGGAGGGAGGGAAGGAAAGAAAGAAGGAAGGAAGGAAGGACACTTGGGAGATAATACAGTTTTAAAGGCATTTAGAGATCACTTTTCAAGATATTTTCCTGCCTCCAGCCTCCAATCGATCCAACATACAGCAACCAAAGTGATCTTCCCAAAAGCAGTCACTCCCCTGTTCAATAAACTGCAATGGCTCCCTATCGCTGCTAGGATCAAAACCATACTCCTCTACTTGGTGCTTAAAGCCCTTCACAACCTGGCTCCAAGCTACTTTTCCAAACTTACTGTACATGACTCCCATCCCTACACTCTAAATTCCAGCCAAACTCACCTCCCCGCTATTCTTCACAAATGCCACATTTCCCATCACCATGCCTTTGCACCGGCCATTTTTAGTGCTAGGAAAACGTCCTCCCTCTCTACCTCCACCTCTTAGAACCCCTGGCTTCCTAAGATTCAGCTCAAGTTAATTTTTCCACAGAAGGCCATTCCCAGTCCCCCAAATGCTAGTGAGCACCCCATCTTTACCTCATATTTATATTAATTTTGAATATATTTATTTATGTACTTATCAACCACAATAAAAGGCAAGGTCTTTGAAAGCTTGTTTTCTCTTTATGTGCTAAGCACCTGGAACAATGCCCAGCACACAACAGGTGCTTAATAAATGCAGACTGACACACCTCCTTTCTCATCCATGCAAAATCTGAATGGTGCTCACGCATTGATGGTGTCCTTGCTACACCACAAAAAGGAAAGAGGTAGGTTCATCCCAGACAATGTGCTACCCCAGGCTGCATCGTCACGGGGCCACAAATGATGTTGGGAATATGGTCAGAGGACCGTGCATTCAGGCCTGGGAGGGACGTGAGAAGCCACGGAATCCAAACCCCTCGGCTTATAGATGAGGAAACTGAAGCCTGGAGAGACTGACTTGCCCAGGCAGGATTCAAACTGGGGCCTTCTCAATGTCGAGTTGGTTGCCTCTCCCTCTGCATCACTTGAGACTGCTTTGTGGATTAAAGAGCACGACTACAAGATTCTACTCAAAACCAGGCATCTCCTCGTGGCCTTCATTTGCCATAACAATAATAATAATAATAACAGCTCTCAGCCCTGTAGCGAGTTAAGGTTTGCTAGGCGCTGTCCATCAATCCTTCCCTTGGCCGCAGGCGCGCTATCTGTGCTCACCCTAGTCTCTGGTCCACTTCCTGCTGCCTCGTTCCTCTGTCCTTGGGAAGGGGGGCTGGACCACTGCACCTTCCTTTCTCCCCAGGGCTCCCCACCCCCCACACCCCATCCTTCCACCCTCCCCCCAGGCCACTCACCCCAGCCCCTTCAAAGAAGGCACTTGTGGCTTCCCCCGTGTTATCCAAAAGGTCATCGCTGTCAATCTGTAAAGACACCCGCCCGATCGCAGGCCAAAGGTCAAAGGTCTGGTGAGGAGACCGGTGCCCTGAGTTACAACATGGGTCTGTCTTCTCGGGAGAGGGCGGCATTGATTTGGGGGGGAGGGAAGACGGGGAGCTCATCACCATGCCTTTCAGAAAGAGGTCACCAGGAAAGGGAGACGACAAGTCTGCTGCTCTAGCTAGCCCTCTGCCCGACTCTGCCCCCTCCCCACCGGCCCCCCGAGAGTCCCCAACCCCATGACTCACTTTCTCTGATCCATGTAAAAAATCATTGAGGGCTTGAGGGTCACTGTAAGGAAAAAAAGAACATGATGAGTGAGAATGGGGAAGGGGAAAGGGGACACCCACCCAACAGGCAGGGGAGGGGACGCGGTAACTCACCAAATCACGTCTAGCAAGCATCGCCCGTCCTCATCATCCATCTCCACTGGAGGGGGGAAGGGAGAGAGGGAAAGGAGAGACACAGAGAAGGTGGGAGGGGGAGGGGAGATGGGGAGGAGGGGGGGATGAGAGGGGGAGAGAGGAGAGGGAGGAGAGGGGAGGGAAGGGGAGGAGGGGGAGGGAGGAGGGAGGGAGAGGAGGGAGGAGAGGAAAAGGGAAAAAGGGGAAAAAGAAGGGGGAGGAGGGAGGGGAGAAGGTGGGAGGAGAGGGGAAGGGAGGAGGGGGAGGGAGGAGGGAGGGGAGAAGGGGGAGGGGGGGGAGAGAGAGAGAGAGAGAGAGAGAGAGAGAGAGAGATTGATTTAGTGTTAGGCCTCTGGTGCCTGAGGCATCCCCCCTGCACCCCAGCGAGGCTTGTAGTCAGACCTGACTTCAGATCCCACCTCAGGAACCAGAGGGTATTTAACCCCTCAGCCTCAGTTTTCTCACCTCTAAAATGGGGATAATAATAGCACCTGCCTCATGGGGTTATTGTGAAGACCAAAGGAGATAATATTTGTAAAGTGCTTTGCAAACCTCCCAGTGTAATATCAATGCTGACGAGTATGATGAGCACTTCTCTTTCCCCCTGCTCTGGAAGGCATTTCAGAGGCTATCAAGTTCAACCAACTCATTTTACAGAAAAGGAAACTGAGGCTCAGGAACTGATGTGACTTGTCCAAGGTCACACAGGTAGAGAGTGGCAAAGCCTGGATTTGAACCCAGGTCTTCTGACTCTAAAAGCAGCCTTTTCTCCCTGGCACCATACCAGTAGCCCCCTTTTCTAAAGCACTGGGAGGTCTGGGGTACAGGAAGGAACACCCCCACCTTAACAAAGAAGAATTTGGGCAAAATATCTTGCCCACAGCCAGGATCCCTGGACTTCTCCACAGGCTGTGGCTTTGCCCCCTCATCCCCAGGAGGAGAGGGAGACCGAGGCAGGCGGACAGACAGACAGACAGACAGACAGACAGACACACACACACACACACACACACACACAGCCCTTGGAGACATACTAACAGAAGCCCAGGAGAGGCAGAACATATACACTGGGAAAGAGCGCTGATTTGGACCTGAAGAGCTGAGTTCAAATCCCACCGCAGGAGTTCACTAGCTCTGTGACCCAGGACAAGTCACTTTAATTTCTCTGGGCCTCAGTTTCCTCACGTGTAAAAGGAGGGGATTGACCTCAAGGGTCCTTCTCAGCTCTAAATCTAAGATGCAAAGAAACCTCATGGAGACACCCACAAATATACCTGAAGATACACAGATACATTTGGGGCACACACACACACACACACACACAACCCTAACACACACACTCACAGATACTATGAGACACACAGCCAGATATAAGTCAGACACAAAAACTCCACACACATACTATGCAACACACAATACTCCTATCACATACATACAACATGCAGACCGCACACCAAACACATATCACAGCTAACATGTACTACCTGCACACACCACATACCATAAACACATGCACCCCTACATACACACACAACACAACACATACACAGCACACATACTGCAGACAGCACATCACATATACGCATCACGCACCATACCACACACACACACACACACACACACACACACACACACGCCTCCCTGTCAGACGGGCGCCTTCTGTCCTCGGCCCGGGGGTGAGGGGATCACAGGGCACTGCCAGGACCAGGACAGGGGACACAGGGACGAGGGGGTGGAGGCAGAGGAGCCTCCAAAGCTGGGCTGGGCTGGGCAGGGGGGAGAGTCGGGGGAGGGGTGGAATGACCCTGGGCACTCCTGAGTTAAGTCTCGAAGGGACCTTGAAGATTCCTAAGCTCATAGGGCTCCTTTTTCAAGCAGCTGCAGCACTGCACAGAGGAGGCCCAGAGGAGGCCCAGAGCAAGCAGATGAGCTGCCCACTGCTGCCTGGCAGGAAACCCAGGGCTCTAGGACCCTGGACGTGGAGCTGGGAAGGAACCCAGAGGCTGTCTGGTCATTTTACAGATGAGTAAACTGAGGACTACAAGGGCCACATGACTTGCCTAAGGTCACACAGGTAGGATGCGTCAGAGACAGGACTTGAACTCAGATCCCCTGACCCCGGAGCCAATTGAACAGTGTGGCCTTGAACCCTGGTCTTCCACCTCCAAGTTCAGTTCAGTGTACCCCACCCTCCACCCAATCTCTGACCAGAGGAGGCCAGCAGGCTGGACCCACTTGGGAAACGGCTCTGTGCTCCTTGAGAGCCTACGTGGCCTAGGCTGATGAAAGCCAATCTGGAGAACCATGAATCCCTGTGGTGGTGTTGCTGCCTCCCTATCACAGAGCCCCAGGGGGAGGCATCATGGCTGAGGATGCCCAAAGTGTGCCCCCTGCCCCCACTGCAGTGAGAGAATGGCAAGTGAGAGGGAGTAGCCACAGGATCCGCAGACATGGAGGGACCAGAGGAAGGCCTCAGTCCAGCCCATGCAAGGAAGACAAGGTCCAAAGGGGCTGCGATCTGTACCAGTGGAGAGATTGCTGATGTGGGGAGAGCATCAGGGTGACTTGTCTTTGGTTCCCTTCCCACCCCGCAGCTGCCCCAATTACCTGAGCTACTATCGAATCATGAAGGGAAGGAGAGGGGTCTCCACTCCAGGCCTACGCTGAGCCCCCAGCTGGGGACTTGGGGAGTGTCCTTGGAGGGGCCAGCTATGGGGAAAGAGAGAGAAAGAGACAGTGAAAAAGGGAAGTGAGCTGTGGATCCAGCCTGCCTGGCCTCTCTTCCCGGCCCTCCCCAGCACAAACCAGGCCCAGCTCAGTTCTCTTGCTTACTATGCTCCAGCCCACCCCACCCCCACCCCTACAGGAGGCCCTTCTTTTTCTCTTCCTGTTAACTTAATTCAATAAACAATTAAGTACATAGAATGGCAGAGCCAGAAGATCCCCTTAGAAAACAATGTCAGATACCCTTTGACCCAGCAACAGCACTTCTAGGTCTGTATCCCAAAGAGATCACACAAATGGGAAAAGGACCCACATGTACAAAAATATTTACAGCAGCTATTTTTGTGGTGGCAAAGAATTGGAAATTGAGGGAATACCCATCAATTGGGGTACGGCTGAACAGGTTGTGGTATATGAATGTAATGGAATACTATTGTACTATAAAAAATGATGAGCAGGCAGACTTCAGAAAAACCTGGAAAGACTTGTATGGACTGATGCTGAGTGAAATGAGCAGAACCAGGAGAACACTGTACACAGCAACAGCCACGTTGTGTGATGACTAATATTGATAGACTTAATCCTTCTCAGCAAGTCTCATGATGGAAAATGCTATCCACATCCAGAGACAGAACCACGGAGTCTGAATGCAGATTAAAGCATACTAATTGCTATTTTTTTTTCTTCTGTTTTGTTTTGTTTCCTCTTTCTGGTGGTTCCTTCTATTGGTTCCAATTCTTACTTACAACATCACTAGTGTGAAAATAGGTTTAATAGGAATGTATATGTACAGCCTATATCAGATTGTGTGCCATCTTGGGGAGGGAGGGAGGGGGAGAAAAATTTAAAACTCAAAAGTGTATGGAAGTGACTGTTGAAAACAAAAAAAACAAAAAAAAAAAAACAAAAAAAAAAAAAAAAAAAAAAACCAATGTCAGAGCTGGGAGAGCTTTTAGAATAGGGAATGTCAGAGCTCAGAGACCGTCACGTGACCCACAGACTACTGGCACCAAAAAGTTATGCAGCCCAACCTTTTCATTTTACTGATGAGAAGGAGGCCCATCTCTGGGAAGGGCCCATTCCCTTTACTAGACCAGGCTGGGAGCACAGACCCGATCAAGGATGGACCATGTGTGTGTCACCCAGAGACCAGCCCAGCCCACCTGAGAGGGGCCATTTCAACTCAAAGATGGTCTACCATGGCACAAAGGGGCCACGACCGGTCCACCTTCACTGACAAATGGCAGACCCCTGGAGTACTGAGAAGGAAACACACACGCCGCGTAACTGTTGGCCAAGTTGCGTGTCTGTGTCATGAAAAGTGGACCCACATTGGCGGGCTAACACGCACTGCAAAGAACTGCGACGTGGTGGGGAGATGGTTGGATTTGGAGTATTACCACCGTTATTATTATTACAACTTGGTTTGCCTACAGAATTATGACATTTGGCACAGCAACAGCGACCGGCCCTATGACTATATTGGCATATGGGTAACTGCCAGGTGAGGAAATGCTCTCTACTAATGTAGGTTAGCACCTTCTCAGCAACATAAGAGTCACAGTGAATAAATACGTATCAGGCTCCATTCCAAGCACCGGGATACAAAAACAAGCAAGAGACAGTTCTTTCCCTCAAAAAGCTCACAGTCTAGGAGTTACCTAGTGCACTGAGAGGAAGAATGACTTATCCAAGGGTCACAAAAGCCAGGACGTATCAGAGGCAAAGACTTGAACCCAAGGGCTTCTGTCTTTAAGGGTAACTAACCACTACCCCCCACAGCCTCTCATGTCTGGTATATTAAATCGAAAATCTGACTTTTGTTTTAATCTTGTTATCACTCTTAATAGCATCAGCAATGTTTTACATTAACATAGGCACTTCATAACATGGCCAGAAAAATTCTTTTACTTCTTTTTTCTATCCTTTTAAGAAAATATCTTATTAATTTGTCTTTTTACATTGATATTACTTCCCAAGGACTACCTTTCCCATTCCCACCCCTGAATCCCAGGTTGTAAAATAGTATATTTATGCAAAACAAGCTAAAACATTGGCCTTGCAGGACAGAATACACCCCATTCTGCCCCAACAGACCACCACTTCTCACCCAAGAGGGAGACAACATCTTCACTGCTGGTCCTCGGGACTTTCTATGTTACATTCCTTTGTGTTGGAGATCACGTCACCTATAAGGAACCCCCCACCCTTTGGGCCCTGGAGGGGGACAGGACGGCGGTCAACATCTCAGCCGGGAGTTTGCCATCCTCTTTCCCACCGACCTCACAAGACGCTAACGATCGCTGGGTCACTAGCTCTCCCTTTCCCCACCTTTCAAGGGCGGTCTTTCCTACAGTCTGAACATATGTATCAGTGATGCCCGATGCTGAAGATGGGGATGGGGGCAGAACCAAATGGGAGGAGGAGAGGAGGCCAGGCTGCCTTGGGGAAATCCATCAGCCAGCGCTTTTATTTTTTTTTTTAATTTTATTTATTTATTCATTTTTCAGCCAGTGCTTTGAAGCCTGCCTAGTTTCTCAAAGGTCTGTTCCCAGTGGACAGAGACGCGGCTTGGCCGGCTCGCTCCCCAGTCGTGTGACCTTGGTCAAGTCCCTTCCACTCACTAGGCCTCGGTTTCCTCTTCTGGGGAATGAAGAGGTTGGGCCAGATGGCCTCTGAGGTCTCAGGAGCATCTGAGGCTCGCCGTGACGTGATTCATTTAACTTCTTTGTGGCTAAAGCAACTTCCTAGGATCACAGATTCAGGGCCCGAAAGGCCACTGAGTCCAACTCGACATTCTACAGATGGGGAAACTGAGGCCCCAGGAGATGAAGTGACTTGGGATCACAGATTCAGGGGCTAGAAGGGTCTTTGTGTCATTTAGCACCACCCCCTCATTTTGGTGAAAAGGAAACCCAGACCCTGGGAGGTTAAGCCTCTAGTAGGCCAAAAGCACTGGAGCTGGGATTCGAACACAAGTCCTTTGACTCCAAATTCAGGGCTCTGTCCAGTGTACCATCCTGCCTCTTGGACTTCTCTTTCAAGTCCAAGATGGGGGTTCACTTGCACTGGTGGAAGAGTCCCCCACACTGATACATTCTTGACGTGGCCGGGCTGCCAATCCAAGGACATCACAGGCTCCAATGTATCCCGGCTGTCAATCACTCCAAAGGCAGAGGACAGATGCGGGGCAAGCAGGAGACAGCTATCATCTATTACCAATGAAGGAAGAGGGGCATAAAGAACATGAAGAGAGGGAGGCGGGAAGTTCGTATGGGGAGAGACAACCACTGACGGTGGTTAACCTTGAGTATGTTCAAGGGGTGGTCAAAAAGGTCCCCAGGAAGGGGAGGATGAGAAGGGGTAGGCAGGGGTGGGGAGCCTGTGGCCTCAAGGCCATATGTGGCTCTCTAGGTCCTCAAGTGTGGCCCTCTGACTGGACTCGAGGCCGCAGGTTCCCTACCCCATGTAGACTAAGAATACAGCTCTAGGGGCAGCTAGGTAGTGCAGTGGATAGAGCACCGGCCCTGAAGTCAGGAGTACCCAAGTTCAAATCTGGCCTCAGACTAAACACTTGGCACTTATGAGCTGTGTGACCCTGGGCAAGTCACTTAATCCCAATTGCCTAAAAAGAAAAAAAAAAAGGAACACAGCTCTAGTCAGAGGTCAGGGGCCAGAGGTGGCCGGTGGGTATCGCTGGGTCTCAGGTCTTCAGGGGGGTCAGCTGGAGGAGACCGAGGTATGACAGGCTATGGGATCATAGAATTTAAAGGTAGAAGGAACCTTAGAGATCATCTGGTCCAAATTCCTCATTTTTATATGAGATGAAACAGGCTTAGAGAAAGGTTGAATTGCCCAGGTTCACACATCCAGAGCCTGGACAGGATCCAAATCCAGGTCTTTCTAACTGTATTAAGCATACTATGCCAAGAACTGGAGATAGGAAGGACAAAAGACAGCCGCTGTTCTCAAGAAACTCACAGTCTAATAAGGGACGCGTTAGGCACAGACAAACAGAAGAAGAAGAGGAGTCCCTCTCAGGCTGATGTGGGCGACGTCTGGGTTCCAGCCACAGCCAAGAAAGACTAGCTCCCGGGGCACTAGAAAGTCACGGTTTCTTCATGAGAAATGGGTTTTAAATCAGGTACATCTTGATTTTCCATCTCTGGTGGCACAGGCAGAGAGACACTAAGTACTGACTAGGGGCAGAGACCCAAGAGACCAAAGACAAATAGGGAATGCAAGCAAGGGTTATGGAAGATTCCAGAAAAGGGCAGGAAGAAGGGGTGTGTCCACAGGAGGGGCAGCCTGCCACAAGCAAGCCCTAGAGGCCCATACCCACTAGGGCCACTAGGGGGAGCGCGGGATAAGTGTCAGCCTTGAGACTTTCATTTGAATCTGACACTTAATAGCCCTGTGACCCTGGGCAAATCACTCAACCTCCCTCAGGTTCCATTTCCTCAACTGTAAAATGGGGATAATAAAAGCACCCCTCCTCCATTCCCCGATCTGTTGTGAAGATGAAAACAAATGACATAATTTATGTAAAGAGCTTGACAAAGCGGGATGGGGACAGGTTAGAGGCTGGACCAGTGACTTACTGTATGAGTGACTCCAAAGCAGGTCAGCACCTTCTCAGAAGGTTCTCAGCCTTCGCGAGGGTTGCCCAGCGCAGAGGCATCAGGGCCACTAACACAGAACACAAGGATCCCTGCCAGCCCACGCTCCCTGACTTAGGAAGTCACATGTTTCCATGATCTACATGCTGTTGGGCATTTATTTATTTTGTTAAATGTTCCCTAAACACATTTTAATTTGCACTGGAAGTGTTCTGAGCCAAGCCTCTGGCCTACAACACTGAAAAGAAATGACTTGTCCAGGGTCACACAGTCACTTGGATGTCCGAGCTGGGGCTGGAACTCAGGTCTTGCTGTCAAGTTCTCTCTCCACCACATCAATCAGCTTCTCAAACCCAAAGTGCTACA